TTATTTTTAGGCAGAACTAGTTTATTGGTAGATTTAAATAAAATGGCTTTAATGTTTTGTGTCTTCAACTTTATTAACTTTAATAACATTAACCATTAACTTTCGACCACATAGCAAATTTAATTAGGGCATTGTTCGCTTTAGATATCAGCATCAGTACCAGAAACAAAGAGATTCATATCATCTGCATGAATATCAAACTGAACTTGCTGATCGATGCCATATTATTTATGTATACATTGAATAGAAGAGGCCCAAGTATGCTTCCTTCTGGTACAAAAGCAATAACATTATGAAAGGAAGAGTAATGACCGTCAATTACTACTCATTGTTTCCTACATTGTAGATCTGATTTAAGTAAAGCTAGGGGTACCCTGCGGGCACCATACTTGTATGATTTTGGACGAAGAATGTGGTGATTTAGAACATCGAACGCTTTACTGAAGTATGCACCTAACGGAAGAAGCCTATTTTCAATATTTTGCAATATAATTTCTTTTTGAAGTAATAAAGCTGCTTCAGTGGATTTACCTTGTCCAAAACTAAATTGAGAGTTCGTTAGTATGGAATGTTTTGTGAAAAACGAATTTAGGCGTGTGAGTATAATTTTTTTCAGGTGCCTTAGAGAAGATAGGTAATACTGATATATGCCTGTAGTTGTTCGGGACGTTCTTATCGCCTCCTTTATATATAGCAGAAACTTTAGCTAACTTCATGTTTGCTAGAAATTGGGCAGTTGATAATGCCAAATTATATATGTGATCTAAGCATTGGGCGATTAAATCTATTACCTATCTAACCGGCTTTATTGGTAATTTATCAACGTCACTACTTTTGTTTTTAGTGTGTTTTTAGTCCTAAGAATATATTACATATCTCAATTTCTTCAAATGGATTTAGAAAAAAAGTATCGTTATTATGCCTTACAAATGAAAGGGAACTAATATTATAAGCAATGGGTTGTTGAACAGAAAAGTTAGTGTTAAACATTCCGTCAGACTTTCATCTGATATAACTTGACCGCCTATATTTAATTCATCGATAGAGTGACATAATGGGACATTTGCTTATCGTATGAAAATTTTGCTTTTCTAAGCTCAGAAGTTAGATTATTCCTAAATTTCTTAGAATATGAGAGTTTGTTTGGGTCCCTTGTTTTTAGGAAAGCTTTGTATAGGCGGTCTTTTTATGCATCATTTTACTGTGTAGGGCGGTCAACCAGGGTTTCTTTATCTTTTTACTTACGGTTACGGTTTTCGACGAAAAATGCAAATTATAAAGTTCTTTAAACACGTCCCAGAAGGTATTATAAGAATCCTCGACGTTTAAGTTAGAATAAACAGAGCTCTGGTCACAGTAAACAACTGCATTCCTAAATGCCAGGAGGCAGTCATCGGACATTTTGCGGAAAGTGGCGGTAGTTTTTGTAACTTTTTTAGGTGTTTCATAATTTTGCATCAACAAGAAAATGGGAATGTGGTCACTGATACTAAAGCTTATAGTGCCAGACACCTTAACTTTGGCTGTAAAGTTCGTAATCAAAAGATTAATTGCGTTTGACGTGGTTTGGGTGATTCTAGTAGCAGATGAATTACATTTACAAAGCCGTTAGAGTTGAGTGTACTACTGAGAGAATTTGAATAGAAAGGGTCATCTAATATGTTAACAATCAAATCACCACCTAAAACAAGGTGATAGTTATTTATTGATACATAGTCTAAGAGGCGCTCAAGAAAAGAAACGAAATTTCCAAAATCTGCCGAAGGGGGGTGGTAAAGAACAGTAAAAATGTAGTATTACCACATTTTAGGCTTAGTATCTCATAATCGCTTGATATTTGAGAAAACGCATGTAGAAATTCACATTTAGTAGAACATTTTACGTCAATAGAAACACCACCCCAACGTTTATCTGTTCGGTTCAAATAGAAATGATTATAACCGAATAGAATAAGCCTGTCAGCTTGATGCTGATACCAGGTTTCCGTAACCATTATTATGTCAAAAGAAACACAGCACTTATCTAAATGTTATATGACACTGTCATGTTTATTTGTAACGGAACAGGCATTTAGGTGATAGATTAGAGCGTTATATTTCGATGACAAGTAGTGACCAAGGTCTACAGGCAAAACTAACTCCCTGTATTTCATTGCAAATAAAAGAAAAAGAAACACAAATAGACGGAGTAAATAAGCTAACAGAGCTTCTCGATGTCAGCTTTATTTTTGATTGGAACGAGTGGGAAACCATCGGCTTGACGAGCAAATATTTTTTTCATTGCTCACCCAGACATGTTTCCAGTTCGACTGTCGCTTCTTAGCAATCGCTTTGCCAAGAATACGTTTTAAGGACGGGCAAAGATGCTCGTTCACAAATATCGGCGTATTTGTGTCGAGGCCTACATACAAGTTTGTAAGGCGCTTTTTTTTTTTTTTTTTTGCTTTCTAAAGCATAGCTAGCGTTGAGCTTGCTGCGGTTTACAAGCTGTAGGATAACGTTTGTTGTCTCAAGGTCCCGCGTCGATGCACAATGACAGATGGCAATATCCACTCGAGTAATTGGTTCGCCAATGATTCTCCCAGCTTTCGAACCACATCTGAAAGTACTTCCGCATCATGCTTGAGGACTCCTTTGATTTCCAGATTGGTGTTCCTTGAGTACTGATCAGGCGTCCGCGAGCCGATCCTGGCAGTTCCTCAAGCACGTTTTCAGTTAATCGCACTTTTGCGAGAGATTTCCGTTCTCTTTCTTTAACTGAGGGGTTTCTTTAAATACTCTCTCAAACTTTTCGTGCATATCCTGAAACTCGCGGTTTTGAAAATTCACACTATCGTTTGCCTCTTTAACATCATTCCGCAAGTCACGTATGTCACTCTTAATACCTCGTTCCAGTGTCTCCCTAAACGCCTTCCATTCCTGGCGAAGTTCGTCTTTAGGTTTATTTAGTATTTTTGAGATTTCCTTCGTCATAGGGGATCACTCAAAAACAAACAGACAAAGCAGGCAAGCGTAATTTTTAACAGCTGTGGCAGCAGCAACGGTGACAACGCTTGATGTATTTAACGTGAGAAATTAGAACAAACCTGCAAAATGACGGATTGTAAGCGTGCTAGCTCCTTGCCGTTGCTGCTGCCAAATAACCTATGTCATTGCCATGAAAACGGAGCAACTATTCTTAATATTTGTTCTGCAACAATCGCTCTATTGATTTTCGATCATCTCCAGGTTCGGAAGAGAAGCTTCACATTTGCGTTAAAATGCCATTAACTTACTTTGGAATTTTGGTAGATTCTATATACTTTTCTCTTTTTCCAGAAGGTCTCTCCTCGCATCAAATTGTTCGGTACAGGGTGAAATGCCATCCACCGACAAACTCGCTGATTCCGAATAAGGCGCTTACACTTTCAGTGTCGTGGATCCACGAATCTCAGTCCAGTAAACTGTGCACCATACCAACGGGACGTCAGAGGTACCGTTATACAGATTTGCATTGACCGCGGTAACGTATCTGTATCAAACTTCCAAAATACAGACCATTAACGAGCTTGTCAGGAGTTACTGTCTAAAAGCTTCACCGACGTCGGAATTGAGAAAAGATTATATAAACGGATTGCTGCTCGGTCCAAAGAGATGACGCTATAGACACTTTAAGCATGCGCCAGATTACAGCTGCCATTGCTGGCCTTCCACCTGTGTTACCGAAATACCGAGCCACCGAAGCGGGCTTTGATGAGCGTCCACAAAAGGTCAATCCTAAAGACAACGCAGTCGGACCTAAAATGGCAACAGCCTGTCCCGCTGCGGTAATGATGGAGCGAAGTAAACCGAATAAAGGGAAAGCAAAAAGTGAGGGTCGCTCATGGTGGCGCCCATACGCAGTCGCTTAAAAGCGTCTACACCTCGGCCACACAACGTTCGTCAATTTGCCGGAGTGACCCGCCGGAAAGCATCACTCTGTGACCATTTCACGAGAGGCCTCCTCGGTATTATCCGAAGAAGGCATGATGTCTCTTAGCAACGAACAATGGGATTCTAAGCAAGACGTTTCTTCTCGAGTTCTCGCTGCTGCAGCCCTCAGTATCTTCGTGCTATACGGGTAGAAACTAAGGAAGAGGAGGAGATGCCACGGCTTCCTCGGTGTACTATCACCGGTTAAGTCGATCACGCACGGAAAAAAAGGGATCGCAGAGCATTCACAGACGGGCCAATGAGCGGACACACCCACGATTGCCCTCTATTTCCTTTTCCAACTACATCGCTAACAATAACTACACTTTGCGTGATTGGTCGAGTCGGTTATAGCAAGCGAGCAAAGGCATCGTGACGATGCACTTTTGGGAGTTGCTCGATTGGCTGCAGCGGACCGCGGCGTCGCGGCTGCGACCAAACTCCCGATTATATAATAATCGACGAGAGAAGAAATTTAGCTCGCCACGTCAGCATACTTCAAAACCCTAAACTGTTCCCAGGGATTGAAAGACATATAACCTCGGAATAATAAAAAAGCAAAGAAAATTAGTTGCTTTTTGAAATACCTTGTTTTTACCAACATATGATCCAGCTGTGATATAGCTAATTTCGACACGATATAAAAAAGAAAATTATCCGTATAGGATCCGGTTTCACTAATGTATTTGTTTACGTTATGTAGCGACACTTGTTGTTAAACATAATAAAATTTACGCAAAAGTGTGTGTGTGCATTTGTTCTTTAGTACACGACGAAACAAACACAGAGAAGTCTCAAAAGTGTTTGTGTCGTCATGTAGTAAAACCGCAGTTGCGGGTACAGTCACTATACGCTCGATCTTCACCAGCTCACTCGCTCCCTCGTTAGTTTGTTTTTATTTACTTTTTTGTGTGCTTATGCAACTTTCTCCGTGACAAGTTTTTTCACAGGTCGCTGCGTGCCGATCAAAGTTGGAGTAACTACATATGCTTAGTCACTCTAATCAAAGTCAAGAAGGGGCGGACGTCGCCGGCAGTCCTGGACACTCACCGAGAAGGCGCTTCTCCTGGATGCTCGGGCGAGTAGAGCGAAGAGCGGCTTCTCCGGAGGGTGGCGTGGGAGCCCCGCGAGAGGGACGGGCTCTTATAGACGGGCGCCCAAGGCGCTCTGCGCGTGCACGGGCCTCGTGGCCAATCGCCGCCTGGCCGCATCGATTGGATGCACGCCTCGCCGGCGAACTTACTGTACACAAATGCGCTGCGGCTATACTCATAAAGCGGCGGCCCACGTGCTTGCTTCTTACAAGTTCTACGTCCGAGTAAATAAAGTTTGTGGTCATCGTGTTTGCGCGGCCACATGTCTCCCGTCTGTGTGCGCCACCACGACTAACAACCTGAAAACGAATATAAAAAAAAAACGCCAAAAAGGCAATGCTGAACTCGGAGTCATATATTATTAGCAGCATGTTCTGGGTACACTTGGTCTACCGAGCTAACATTAATCTAACGAACCTGAGAGAAATTTTATTGCTGTGTTAGGGCGAAAATGGAATAGTGGGCAATTGCAATCGATTTCGGGTATATTGCGTGATTTTCGCGGACACAGTCTGCGACCGATATAATCTTCCTCGGAAGTTGTGTGATGGGATGCGGAGGTTTTGTCGAATAATAATTATGAGTTTTATTTTATTTCATTTGATACCTCGATCGAGCGTGGGCACGTGTTAGCTGAAGAAGAGAAAGGAAACTCATCGAGAAACTTCATAATATTACACTATTCGCAGGACTCGGCGAACAGAAATTAGACCTAATCAATAGTAAAAACAAGTGACAGGCATATCCATTGGTGAATTCTTAGGAAATTTGTTAGCATGACCCTTGGAAACGCCCCACACATCTCCATTTGGGAAATCCTAACGCTGATCCCTTTACTTTACTGTTTTGGCTTTCTCTTTTCCTTCCTCTATTTTTGCTGCCTCTTTTTGGCCTTGTTGAGGAGACAGTGTTACCGTTTCCCAAAGGGAGACGTGTGTAACGCTTTCCAACGGTCATGCTAACGGATTCTCTAAAAATCCCCTAATAGATCTTCCTGTAATTCTTTTCACCCCTTTTCTGTACTCTGTTAGAGTACGTCGATGCCCTTGGATACGGTCAACCATATCACTCGTGGAAAGAACCAGATCCATATCATTTGTGGAGGGAACAGCACCCATCGTTTTAACTACATACACACATCACAGCCGACGCGCTACTACTACACAAACCCGGAGCGAAGAACAACCGGCGACGGCTGAGCGGCAACTGAGCACGCCCGCATTCCGCCGCGCTGCGGTGCAACACATCCTAAATAACAAAGTCGCAGTGCTGGAGGAGATGGCGAAATCGGAGAAGGCCAACGCTGGGCCAGGTTGAACGCGACGATTGCGTCAACGTTCGGCTCGAACTTGACTCGAAGCCGAGCGCTGAAGCAGCACTCATTTCCAATATGTGTCCACCGTTGACCTTCTCTGATGACTCCATCTCATTCAGCAGTACGACTTTGTTATGTTACTTATACCCCGTGTCACTAGTTGCGTGCAGTACAGGCGAAGGCAACGCCAGCCGAGGGGAGACAGGCAAGCACCAAGAAAGCTGGGGACCGAGGAGAGAAACCTCCTTTCTTCTCTAACGTTCCTAGTACTCTCCCTTTTTCCCCTCGCCCTCCACTGCCCCCTCTCCTGTCGCGCCTTCCCAGCGCTCGCACTGCACACAATTAGTGACACGGAGTATAGGGGGTGTTGCGCGGCGCCTCCTCCTCTCTGGCTCCGTGCCAGCTGTGCGCGTGACTTTGACGAAAGCGAAAGGGCTCGTTTTGACTTAAGCCCGGCGGTGCTTGTCAGTTTGTCAGCGCCAAGCGGATAGGGAAAGGTTGACGCGTGCTGACGCCATCGCTTCGGACCAATGGCAGTGTCGCACGCATCAGCCTCTTTCCCTCCTTCTCCATTTCTCCCCGGCACTGACAAACTGAAGACTCCGCCGAGTTTTTGTTAAAAGAAACGTTCTAATGCCAAGGCATTAAAAAATCTAGCCTGAAGGTGAAATATGAGCAGTAATTGTTTCGAAAGGAGCACTGCTAAAAATATATGTGAGCTTTTTGCAGAACACGAAGCAGTTGAACCTAAGGCTTATTGAAAAGTCACGGGACACCTGCGCTGAAATATCCCAAATAGTCTTTAAATCGTGAGTTACAGCGTTGTTTTTTACGGTGCAATGAACAGAAACTGTGATCTTTCTTGGAGAAATTACTAATTATAACTCTATGACTAGTAGTGCATTCATAATATTGCGTGGAATCTAATGATTAGAAAAAGATGGGTAGTGAGTATGTTTATACAGCCTATAGACCGACACGCGGCGCGGCTCTGTTTACTAACACGGCCGGAAGACCGCGCATGCACAGCAGCTATGTGGGCAAAAGCAGCCAGGCTCTCCATGTTTTCGCAATTGCCTTCTATGGCGTGGGCTCGTTGTTGACATTGTAGAGACGTAGCTTTATTTGTGCGTCGTATTTTCTGCCAACGTATGTCGTATGTTATGCCCGACTATTTTAGCTCGCTACCCGAGCCTGAACGGCAGCGGTATCGAGACAAACTGTGCGTGAACGTCGTTGCCCTCGACGATCCGTGCGCCGTAAGCAAGGCCTGCATGCTGGAGTTCCGACGTGAAGTTTCTTCTACCGACATCGATGGCTCACGTCGTCGTTTATTTGTTAATGTTTTTTTTTTTTTTTTTTTTTCGCAAAACGAGTTGACGGCCGACCCGGTGCAGGCGCACAAGTCTCTCGGGACCTACAATTACTTCGATCCGGTTTCCGCACTGTCAGCGAGATCAGCAGAGTGTGGGTCTGCTGAAGTGTATTTATTAATTGATTAAATACACACAGCGTCTTCGAGTTAAGGTATGATATTCTTCCTACCCTCATGACCACAAGGCATGACAAGCGGTAACACCTTGTCCTTTCTGCAGCCTTGGCGGTTACGCGTTACAAGTAACGGCGTTACCGGTAACGCGTTACTTTTTTGGTAACGTAGTAACGTACTCGTTGCCTTTTCGAAACAGTAATGGGTAATTTATTTACGTTACTATTGCAAGTAATGTGTAACGTAGTTATGTTACTCGTTGCTCCTTCTTCCGAAGTCTTAAAGGAATTACACTTCAATTTTTTCCGTGTTTTTAGACGTCCAGCCATGTGAATTCCTGAGTTTTCTGCGTTTGTCTTTGCATTTTTTGTCGTGAGTACTGATGTGAAACTGTAAAAAATAGATAAAGTAATAATGTTTCGTTTCTGGATGAACATAACGTTTCTTGAAATGGTGTTATGCATACCTGTACCGCCAAAACAGTAAAACGAGTTAAATCATAATATAAAAAAGTAACCCAGAAGTAATTACGTGCGTTACTTTTTATCGGTAACGGTAACGTGTTCCTTTTATTTTTAGGTAGCGTAGGTCGGTGACTCGTTCCTTGTATTCTCATGTAACGAGTAACGTATTTCGTTCCTTTAATTTTTTTTTTTTTTTTTTTTTTGTAACGTTTACAACACTGCCGTTTTGTCGCCGATCTTCTTCCGCCTGATAGCGCGGGCGAAACGAGCCACCGACGAGCGCTTGGCCGGTGCTTTGTGCTCGAGCACCGAGGAAACAAAATCCCGGTGGTCTCGATCAGACCGTGCTTTTCCTGCACATAAGCAAGCCTGAGGACGGAGATTGAAACGGAAGCCACACTTGCCTAGTGCTTGCCGCACGAACGGTCGTCCGCGCGAGGCGACCATTATTTTAGATCCACGACAATTATCCACCTTCTGCGCCTTTCAGAGTCCCCCGGGAACTTGGGGAAACTCGCTCCGCTACTTTTGCAGTACCCTTCGGTGCAATTAACGGCCACACAGCTTCGCGGCATGCTGAAATGCTCTGACGCCCATCCGAAACGTGCGCCCTTCTGCCCACACTGCCCGGCTCCGGCGCGATCGCAGCGCCGCCGTAGTTCGTGACGTCGATCACGCGTGTCGGTCTATAACTTGCTCTGCCTCAACCGGCGACGAGTCTCCCATGCTGTAGATGAAAAATGTAGCCAGTGCAGTACAACCGCTAGCCTGGGGTCTTTAAAGTGCACCGCGCAGTATAGTGATACACGACCGCACGCCGGTACGATGCTCATCCAGATCAAAATGGGCAGAAGTGGGGATTGAACCCAGGATCCCTGGGTTCTGTAGCGCGAGCTTTTCCGCGTGCTCCGATCTGATGAACGCGCTGAGCCACTCAGCCTTGGGTCTTTTTTTCCTTGATTTGGACGTGTGCACAACAAAATGATTACACCTTTAAATTCACTTCACGGAGATCACCAACGCGCGCTCGTAAAATTTAAGATACCTTCAGAATCTCAATTACGTTTAGAATGGACACCCAATCAGGCGTACAATTCAGGGGGGGGCAGAGGCTCTGTCAGGCACCAGGCCTTTATCTCTGCCCCCCACGCGGATTTTTCCGCGAAACAAATAAAGGAAAGGAAAGGAAAGGAAATCAAATCAAAATCAAATCAAAATGCTTTATTTTTCTCCATTTGGAGAGGGAAGACAGAGAAGAAAGCAACATAACAGTTGCTTGACAGGTCTCCATCTCCCCTCAGCAGCAGCAGAGACAGCACACAAAACAGTTAACACAAAAAGAAATGTTTTGTGTAATTATTCGTTTGATATAAAACAAAAGCAAAACAAAAATGAAAGATCTCCACACATCATGCACCTACACTGACACTAAAAGCTCAACAAAAAATGAAAGCAAATATTTGTTTATCAAAGTCAAAGGTTCTATGTTTAATTCCCCCAAACGATTTAAAATACGAGGAAGAGTATTTCCCAACATCTGAATCCCAAAATTTGTTTTGGAGTAACCACGTATCGGCGCTGCGTGTAGCATAAATCGTGTCTCCAGTTGTAATCTGTGAAATAGACAGAAATACGTTGTCTTTTTAATACTTTTTATAGGTAATACAAAGTTTATAATTATAGAAATTTGGAATCTTTACAATATTAAGTTTTTTAAACAATTGTATCGTATGGGCATCGTATGCAGCATGGCATATAT